GTGATCACTGAACATTATGCAGAAAATAGAACCCAGACGCATTGCAGAGCGCTCAAAATGAGGAACAGTAACAGGGGAGATATTGTGCACAATGGCTTAGAGCACCGCCATCACAGACGGTTCAAGATTAGCGGAACACTTTCAGTTCTCCAACGTGTGTGGGGGGAGGGGGGCTAAACTTGACATACAAGCATAATTTTCCAATACAAGGTAATTTTAGATGATTCGTAGACAATTAAATGGACTCCAAAACCTTTCCATAACTTTGTTTTTAGTTTTTCAGTGACGCGATGAATGATCACAAACCGCGAGGACCAATGAGCTGTCAGTTTCATTTTGCTTCGCTAATTGAGCAGATTGCCTCGAATTTGAATCCACCGAGATTGTTTGTCATGGAATGACGTTCGCTCTAGCGAAAATCTGTTGATTAGGATATTCAACTACTTTCTCCATTCTCCAAACCCCTTCTACCATTTTTACGAAGCGGATTGTACATATGACAACTAAGTCCTTTCAAAGAATCTGTACAATGAATTCACACAAACCTTGTAGAGCAACCAGCTGTGCCATTTCGTGCGCCCCTGCAGAAGTACCAGCCAACTACAAAAACAGCAATCAGCAATTCAACAAAAATGTCAGCATTTCGTTTCATAGCAAGAGCAAAAACGACAATTAAACTTTATGTTACCGAATACTGCGCCCCTCTTGCACCAGCAGCCATTTGTTGCATGTAGATGTGATGCATCTGAGCCATCTGCGCTTGGGCAGCCGCCGCTTGCATCATAGCAGCTTGGTGTTGACCTAAACATTACATTATAAATCAGGATAACAGTCTATATACGAACTGTGCATAAAACTGAAGGCTTGGGTCCGTTAACGCACACAATATCCCGTTGTGCGATTAGGCACCGTTCAGACTTTGCGACGGCAGCGCTTCGGTCGCGCGTTCGACACGATCGATGCGCATGCTTTCGACTGCATCGATCGCGTCGAACGCGCGACTGCCGTCGCGAAGTCTGAACGCTGCCTTACGCCGCCTGGGATTCGCGCCCAGAGCATCCTCTTGTTAGGGAAATTTCCGTTAAAAAACGACCTAGCCTTCAAGAATTCTCCCTCTGCTACGACCCCTTCCTCATCCTAAACTACCATCTTTTCTAAACTCCCCAAACTTCCTACCACTTCCGAAACTTTTTATAACCAAAATTTGCCGGTATTCTCCCAAAAACTGCCGTCGAGACTGGAAGGGGAGCGAGGGGAGTGGATAGCGCACTTGAAAGAGGAAAACCGAGAAAAGTGAAATCAAAAATATTCATCTCAAGGGCAAATACGACATCCTCCCTCCAGCGACCAATATGACCCCTCATTGGGAATCACTGACGTGCCCCGTTTGTTCCTCGGTTTTCCAAGCCTCACCTCCGAGGAATTTTCCTTCCTATCATGGGCGTTCTCTTGAAACTGTGGTTAATTTGACCTAATGTTGCGAGTAATCACGGTATTTATCGGAATAACCGAAATTGTGCGTTTCCACTGTTATCAATGTTTTTTAATCTAAATGGCACTTTTAGCTACCGTATTACTCTGTTATTCCTTAACTTTATAAACTGTAGCGAACTATCTTTCAACTGCTGATGTGCCTATAAACCGCCAGTCAGAGTCGCTTCAGCCCAATCTCCTATTTTCCATAAAATTCCTATAGCTGGTGTTGTTTTGACCACATAGGTATATAGAACAAACACGTTGGGCCGCTCGCTGCTCACCTGTACCAGACGGCATCATTTGCATACCAAATGGCCGTTGGAGGTTCTGAGCTGCAGGTGATTGCATCGTCTTCGGAGCAGCTAACACTCCACCTGACGCGTCTGCAAAAATTTTCATATACATATAGCGCATGAATTTTGCAAAAATTTTATATTAAGCGCGTGAAAATTCCACGAGCGATAATTCACAGACCGTCAGTTGGCTTGAGATGCTGTTGAGAGATCTTGCCGAGTTGCTGTTGTAAAGGCTTGTGTGTCCGTGAAGAAGCAGCATTACTGACGGCGCGCTGCTGCAAGCTGTTGTCGCCATATGGAGAATCATTGATGAGCAAACGAGGGCATGTATAATCCACCAGGAGATGGTGTCACCGGCACTGAAATAGACTTTTCCTCGGAAAATTGAAGGAAATCATAATGTTACAAGCGGATCTATACTAAGGTCGCAACAACTGAACACGCTGAGCCACAGACACATCGAATTCTATTCTTTTCATAAAATGTCCTGAATGCTTCAGCCCACATCTGTTTTCCCAATCTCACCAGGAAGGTCAACAGGTCGCCATGGCCATTCAAGATGAGATGCATATCGACGTGTAGGTCTTGGGACGCTGAACTCAAATCTGCTTTCAAAATTTGCCGAACGATTCTCTATGAGGAGTTAGGGGGGGGTCTAGCATAGCGTTCGCCGATCCTCATGTAGGTAGCTCAAGTTAAGTTCGAGTATAGACGGAAGTGGACGATGGTGTAGTGGATATGTAAGTTGCTTCATAGATGGGATGTCAGAGTTCGATCCTTGACACGTTTGACATTCTGCTTTTTTTCGGAACATCTTCTGCGAGTCCAGAAAATAGTTTGACCTCCTGAACATGAATATCACATCCGCTCGGTACGAAACCTCCTGGCGCCCGCGCCACAGGTGCCGACGCCAAAATACCCTAAATCACCGGCGCCGGTGGCACGGGCGCCAGGTGGTTTGTATCAAGCGGATGAAATATTCATGTTCAGGAGGTCAAACTGTCCCAGCAGCAACATTTGAGCGAAATCTGTCCACGGAGAAAAAAGTCGGTCAAAAACTGGCCTGATTTCGGATGATTTGGGCAGTAAAGGGTAAATACTGCCTAAAAGTCTTGAAAGAGAAGCACAAGTTGCCGACAGTCTTTTCCTGCTGCAAGTAAGAGCAACCTTGACAAAATAACGGATAGAAGTATATTTCTGGACTTGCAGAAGATGTTACGAAAAAAAAGTCAAACGTGTCAAGGGATCGAACCCTGACCTCCCATCTATGAAGCAAGCTTACATATCCACTACACCATCGACCACTTCCATCTGTCTATACTCGAACTTAACTTGAGCTACGCAACAGGAGGATCGGCGAGTGCTATGCTAGAACCCCATTCCCACCCCCCCCCTAACTCCTTCTAGAGAATCGTTCGGCAAATTTCTGAAAGCAGATTTGAGTTCAGCGTCCCAAGACCTACACGTCGATATGCATGCCATCTTGAATGGCCATGGCGACCTGTTGACCTTCCCTGGTCAGAAGAAGACGGGCTATGCTCAAGCGTTACTCAAATAAACGTTTAAGGAACTCACGAGGCCATCATATATTTAATCAAAGATCTAACCACAATGCAAATATATATTGCATTCATACTTCGCGCTTCGAGCACTTTGAGCGCACGCCAGCCCTCTGAACGCTTTGAGCGTCTGAGAAATTACAGGCATCGATGGGAAGTTTTAAGAGAGCTCGACTGACACCTATACTTTCCTGGTCGATGAAAACACAGGCGTACGCTTGAATGCGTTGATGTGGGTTGGTGTACTCAAAACTCTGACGCAAATTATGAACGCACTCTTCGCTGAACCGTGAACTTGGGTCTCAAATGATATTTACAAAGGCGGTATTCCATGTGTGCCACCTTATAAATAGCATGGTTTCCACCCGACTCCGGGTCAACATTGTCAAGACCAACGTCCTTTTGATAAACATGCTAGTTTTCTGAACTTATGTCATCTGAGGAATAGCGTCCAGAAGCTTCCGCGACGCATCCGCGCCGTCGGACCTGACACAATGCCTCGACCCATTCCACCGTCCAAGATTCAGTGTACAAGGCAATGCACGCTGATGTATATGAGAGGAGGGGCAGTCGACTTCGTGGTTCCTACTCTTCACTGCTTAGGAAAAAAAAGTACCAAGAAGGAGGCCACAATAGTTGCTTGTCTCCAGCGAAGCGGTCAACTCGCATTGTTCCCCTGACGTATCAAAGAAATCTAATTGAATTCCGATAGCTTCCCACAAAACCTCTCATAAAGGAGATCTATCAGCATCCGTTCAGAGACTGGATAAGTTACAAGGTCCATGGTGACTGAGGCCTCGTAACTTATCCACCGCACGGAATGAGGGAATTTTTTCCATAGCAGCTCCGATTCTCGAGTGACGTGAGGGGTGGGCGAGGAGGACGGATACAGTGCATCTGTATTGGCGAAAAGCAGCAATGCAAACAAATCCTTTACAGATCAAATAAGGGCTTGCTCCCACCCTCCCGTTGAGGAATATAGCTCATGACGGGCTGTGGAGCTCGCCATCTCTGGAAGAGCTCAAGCGTGAAAGCCTTCATACTTTGCGTCAGCATTCTGGGGGGGGGGGGGCGGTGAGCTTACTTTGAGGACCAATGAAGTAACGTATCCATCAGCGCAAGCTAAGCTGACGCGAACAGTATAAACGTATTCTAAGACCGTGAAACCGCTGTAGCCTTCTAAGAATGATTAGGCTGCGTTTATACTTTGCGGCAGCGTAGCGTAGCGTAGCGCTTCCAGCGTACGCCAGCGGCAGTGTCGGGGAAAGGATAGATATCGATCTAGCGTTCCCAGCGTCACAAGCGTACGCTAGCGTCGCTACGCAACGCCTTGCTGTAGTCGAGGCTTGCGGGAAATCATGGCTACGATTCCTGCTTCACCAGCGTTTCTCTCCAGCGTTTTCCCAGCGCTTGCAGCGACGGGGCTAGAGAGGGGCTAGAGAGTATTGAAGGGAGGAGAGTATTTTGTACTCTCCTACTTTCAATACTCTCTAGCCCCGTCGCTGCAAGCGCTGGGAAAACGCTGGAGAAACGCTGGTGAAGCTAGATCGATAGCTATGCTTCCCGTGCCCTCGCTACGCCAGCGTGCGTAGATCCGATACCTACCGCTTTTCCCCGACACTGCCGCTTGCGTACGCTGGAAGGCGCTACGCTACGTGCGCAAAGTATGAACACAGCTTAGACATGTACTTTTATAATACTCACTCAGCTGGCAACTCGTTATACTTCATGGCGAATCAGCAGTATGTGTACTTCGGCTAATCCGTCGATAAAGAACGCTTTTCTCTTATTAGACAGACTCAGTCGAAGTACAGGCATAGACAGATGCGAAAGCAATCGCAAAAAACGAATAGTAGCAACAGCGTGTTGGGGCTGGAAATTCGCCGAAACTGGCGTTGGGCGTCCAAAGCATTCACTATGGGATTTACTGCTGCACCATTCATTGCAGTTCGGTTGCGCTCAGCTGCAACAAAACCAAGTAACAATGAATAATGGAGAGAAACTCCGATCGACCATGAGGATTAGAGTACCAAAAGACTCGAGGTGAAGATCAACCCGCTGTGGCTCCGGCGCAGAAATCCTCGTCAAAAACTGCACTGCCTTAGAGAGAAGCGTACTGAGAATGGATAAGGGCTTCATAGCCGAGTCGCAAGCCAATATGGTTATAAAGGGATCTCAGGTCGATAACGACGACTTAACCTTATGTCCTGAACATAGCGTGAACCTCTGAACTGTATTAACTTAGCATTTCTTTCTAGCGGACGGCCTTGGCGACTTGACGGCGGACCTAAGGCTAGGGAGAAGAAGAAGAAGAGCACGGTCTTCTTTCAAAGCACATTGTAGTGGGAAGGACTGGCAAGCCGGGAGGAGGGAGGTAATGGTTTATAAAAGGACTGCATGCCATTTCCTGGGTGGATACTTCCCATTCGCGGGTGGCAGCGTCGCGCAGGCGCGCGGAAGCTCGTGGGCCACTCGTGTACTCTGAAACTCATCGAAAACAACGCCTGCAGGATACGAGTGAACACTCTCACTCAAAAGTGGGGGGCAGAGAGAACAAGGACCCATTGGGGAATGACAGGTGCATTGCGGCGCGATCGCGCAGAGTATACGCGCCTGGCATGAATAAGGCGGCGGACTTCGTAGCAATTCCCCATTCGAGACATTGGACTTTCTTTCATTGGCGCGGTCTCGGCTCGTTATGTAAGCTAGTAAAAACCAAACCCTGACGACTACAGGGGACAATTTTCCGTTAGTAATCCCTTTGAAATCCTACACAACTTACAGCATTCTCCCAATTACCACGTTTTCCAAAACCGCAGATTCGTCAGATCAAGGCTTAATCTTTCGTTCACACCTATTCCCCCAAATTGCGGACTCCTCATGTTCACAAAGTATGAACTGAGAAATCAGCATAAAGCAATAGTGATAACGTCCACTCCAAGCTTCATGGTCGATATTCTCTTATCAAAAACAGCGTTCGCGAACAATCGTCCTCGAGAAAACACTGAGGACACTTTCTTCTGAGCTATCGGAAACTCCTATTGGGTGGGTGGATCTTGTTGTTTGCATAGGTATACACCCGAATCTAGCCAAATTCAACCCTATGATCCTAGTCACCGAGATATATCTCGACAATACAGAGAGCCAGGCTGCCATAATCCTAGCAGCTGAGAGGTAGAGTTAATGTCAAGAGATGGAACGAAGAGATATCCTCTCTCACAGTTCTTGCCTCTCCGTAATGATCTTTGCCAGGGAATACCCCTCCAGGACTTCTGATGAGAGAACAGCACTGTTGCGCGATATTCATAAAGGGGGCCGTATTGGCATTTCGAGAGAAGATCTTTTTGCTGCTAATTTTTCCCCCAACGTTCGCCACACCTATGCCAACGCACCCCCTCCCCTAAATGGCGGTACAATTACTACTTTAAAAGTTACTGACAAGTGTCAGTCCTTCCCCTTCAGACCTAACAACCACCTCAAAATTCCACGAGACGATAGATAAGTTGAGGGAGGGGTACCACTGGAGGAGGAAATTCGGAAGAGTCGTACTAATAGTTTCCACCCATCCCTACCCTGTTCTTGATGTTACCTTGTGAAACTTGACGTGTCCACGTTCAAGAGCTGTAGAGCAGGTTTATACCCATTAATCTTTTCACGCATAATATTCGAAAACGGTTATCGCGAACACTTTTTACAACAAATACCAAAGTTGCAGACTAACGACGTACCAGAAACAGGCTGAAATGAGGAAGGAAGCGCTGTCGGCGTTGCAGGTGCCATTGGTCTTGACGAGGGGCGAGACACTTTCGACTGCTGTGATGCCGGAGGTAGTGAGTCTGAAATGAGCTTTTTCACATCGGTTTTTAACGTAAAGTTCAAGTGAGCCAATTTGTTGCCTGTTAAAAATACTCTTAGGTTAACGATAATGCGACGCACTAGCGGAACTCAATCCCCTTGATAGCGTCACCTTCCTTTTTTTCTCTGCGCATTCTCGTCTGCGTGACCTTCTATGGTCGCTGTGACTTCACAAATTACAGCTTTTCACGCATGATAAGTTGCTCACCCATGCAGGAGTTTTCCCTCCCCTTCCCCCCCCCCCTTCGAAAAGCCCATCTCCTCGCTTCGCAACGTTACTTCTGCACTTTCAAAGCATGAACAGCTTCTTCCCCTTTTAGCTTCCTACATATATGGTTTCGTAACAGGACCATCCACGAAAGCTCAAGCAGGAGGTAACCTGATAAAGTTCACAAACCTGGTGCCGCTTCTCGAGGGCTGGGAGCAAATTCAGGCGATGTTAGAACATTAGCAGCTTCCGGTACTGAACTGCAAGGTGGACCCGTTGAAATCAAGAGAGGCGTTCGAACATCAGAAGTGGGTTCCTCCTGTAACAGCATGCATTTTACAAATCTTACTGTTCACACCAAAATGTGCTAGGGAAAACCCCGTAATCTCCAGCATCTATGTTGGACACGAAATTACTGCCTAGTCTTATCGGGTGAATGCAAAAAAGCTCAGAGCTATCATTTTCTCTGCCCTAACTACCACAATCTTTCATGTTAAGCTAGTCGACCCGTGACACGTTGCTCGAGTGGGTCCCACTTCTCTCAAAGTGCACGTGAGAACACTTGCTTTTATTTTTCTTAAAGAGAGTCATTCAGAGAACGCCCAAAACTGTTACAAGCGTTTACAAAGCGTTGCCGCAGACAACACCGTCCAATGAAGAGGAAGGTACGAAATTTGTAAAATAACACCTCACCTTCTGTAGTTGAGGAGCTACACCGTCATCGGAAATGTCCGAGTACCCTCCGGGAGACTTTGAGGGATCATCAAGCTTCATGTCAGACTCTATAGAAGTCGAAGCAGCAGAATTTTCGGCCTAAAACAACAGCAATATCGGAGGACAGATTGTGAGGAGATATACCTCACTCAAAATCGTGCCGAAAGAGAACAGAATTTTGTGGGGGGGGGGGGGGAATAGAAAGACCTGAGTAACCTTACTATCTACAAGCATGGCAACTTCATACATTACGGACCGTGTGCCCCAATATGTTGCCACAGAGGGGAAACCGCCTTGTTTCATTTCTTCAGCATTTTTATTTCACTTTTCGAAGCCGCGTTTATACGCTGCAGGATTCGCTAAACGACTCGTGAACATTATCCTATTTAAGGTATGCGGCGGTCGCGAGGGCGCGTCGTGCACAAGAGGCACCACTGCTAATAATCGTGCCTTATACCCCAGAAAACAAGGTACAGTTTTGCTGGGGTGTGTCAGGAAGGCTGGGCTTGGCGTGTCGTCATCCCATTCTCCACCTGTAGTGGGGCTTGCAGGTGACCTCAAAAATTTAAACTGGTTAGGCCGCGTTCATAGCTTGCGTTCGTGAAGAAATGCAGAAATGCGGAAAATGCAGAAGTGCGGAAAGTGCAGAAATGACGAAAAGCATTACATACGTATCGATCTGAAGAAATGCAGAAATGCCGAAAGTGAAGAAGTGCGGAATCTGCAGAAATGCCGAAAGTGTGGAAAAATCGATACGTATCTATTGCTTTTCTGCAGATTCCGCACTTCTGCATTTTCCGCATTTCTGCATTTCTTCACGAACGCAAGGAACGCGGCCTTTAGCGTTATGCGCCACGCCCAGCCTTCCTGACTGGCCCAGAGCGTTTGTGGGGAAAAACTATATTAAAAGGACAAAAAATAAAGACTTCGCTGTTGTCAACAATTTTTCAGGATGCGGCACGCATTCTTCATCCGTTCATGATCGCAGTGGTTTATTGAAAGGTATGTGGTCTGAACAATGGCTTCAAAGACTGGCCGATATACAAGCCAGCGCTTTCCTCCTAGTCCTCCAATCTGGTATCAGTTCGCACTCCCCGGAAGGTAGACGGCATTGTTGGCCTGTGCAGGAACGTATCATGGATTTGAGCCCCGGAAAGCGCGCGTGGTAAGACTACTTGCCACTACATCACCTTCGCCCAGATATTTCAGCATTAATCACATCAAGATCAAAACCAGGCTAAACATACACTAAATGACCGAGTTTCTGCCTTTCCAACTGCAGAACAATGAGATGACAGAATGCGCAGGATAACAGTACTACTCACCTTTACAGGCGCCTCTTCCAACATTGTCGAAAGACAGGGTGAATCAGTCTGCGCAAGCCCTTCAACGTCTGTCTCCACAGAACGTCTACGGAATGCGGAAATATCAGTCTGACAACAAATGGCTTCGTACATCACCTGGAAAGATAAAATTTGCTTTAATGCTAATGATACATCACGAGCACCAAGAGACCTACCGCCTTCTTGGCGTGTACTGTGGCTTTATGGTATTCCATCTCTTCACTGCGAGAATATCTGTGCTGACATCCGTCGACGGTACAAATGTGCATGGATTTCCTAAAAACGAGACTATTCCACTATCAAAGCGCCCAAGAATGCGCCTTTTTCTGGGCTCTGGGAAGTCTACAGCTCTAGCAAAAGGGAAACCTCATGGGAAAGTTAGTGTTCACAACATATAGCCCAGAAAGACTACACAATGGAATGTTTCCTCTGCTGAAACAATGCTGATGCTTTGACTTAATTCTCAATCAAATTGACTAATTGACGATCGAAATTGAAGGTTCAGTTATTTATTCTCACATCGAGACGCCCAAATTACTAATAAAAATGTTAGAACTGATAATTATAGAGACAAACCTCCCAGGGACTTCAACTAGTTTGAAAGAATCAAAATTCGAGACTGAACCACTAGCTAGATTTTCGATATCGAGTTCTTCTTCTTCATCCGCTGAAATGAAGCCATCGGTGCAATAATGTTGACAGAGAGAATGTTTCAAATTTTTTGAACAGTGGTCAACTATAGGTAGGCATTTGGCGCATTAGTTCATCGAATTGCGGTGGTTCCAATCTTGCCCAGGCTTTCAAAACTACGAAATATCACAGCCTTTATTTCCTTGCTATTTCTTTGATTTTTTCATATCGGACAGCATTTAGCGCTGGAAGGTGCAAAAGCCACTTGATTCGAGCATGCCGCACCTTAGAGGTTTCTCAGCGCAGGGGAGAGGAGAAAGTTAATATTTGGTCTGGTGGCTTCCCATTAGGAATTTTTTTCAGGTATCAGATTATCTGCAGTCCGAGCTAGAGTCCGGCAGAGTAAGTTTACAGTTTAGTACAGCCCATCGCAGATGTCTGCTCCCCTCGCCCCTACTAATAACGAAGAAGCCTTTTTGGGAACTTCACAGCATGAAAGCGTGACCTTCTGCTAACCAGAAATAAAGGTGCCACGGTCTAAAGGGGGAAAAAAGCACATGATGGTGAACATATAAACTACCTTGTAGATTACTCCCCTTCTAGGCTAAGACAAAACCGTTCCGACCGAAAAATATTGTAGCGGTTTAATGCCCAAATGGGTATCCGCACCAACCCGCCTACCTACAGTGAACTACCTCCGACTTTTTGTAAACCAACAAAATAAATTAAACACAGTAATCAACAAAAATAACATACGAGGATCCAGTGAGCTACCAGGCCGAGTTATCGTACAGGACAGCTTCCGTTTCGTTTCAGAAGATGGAAGTCTTTTCTTCAGATCACGAGGTGTAGCAGGCTGCTGACTGCGAGATTTCGATGGAGTACTGGCACCACTGCCACTGCCAGTGGTTCTATCATTCGAATCGCCACATGCACTACCATTGGAACTATTCGACCCACTACCTGCCACTGTTGTCGACCTGCAATCGATACTGAGTGCGGCTGACGTGTAAGAAGAGTTAAAAATTACAGATGATCACCATCTTCTTCAATAATTTGTGGATTAAACTCACAAATTACGCAAATCACACCTTTTCTTCATGTAAGGCAGATATGCGGGGGGATGACCGTCGGTTAAAATGCCACTGAACTCCTGATCTTTCCACTTTGCCACAACATACAACTCATTATCTGAAATATTAGTTCATAGTAAAAAAAAGAAAGAGCTCTTTGCGCCTCATTCTTTCGAAACTGCGGCCAGACATTGATCGGAAATTATTCCTGTAATGAGAATTGGTCAGAGTGTCATCCCCTGAGTTTGATCTGAACGCTAATTGCACACGTGCTAGTAGCAAAAGGTGCTTTGCGTCCTGAGCACGGTACTGGCGCTACTAAGGACCCGTTCGGCGCTTGCTGCGTGATGACACTGCCCTCAAATTTTAATTGCATTATTTGGATCCAGGGGGTTAAGCAAAAGACCAGAATTTCTAACACTTTCACCTGCGTTGTAAGGCCGTCTGGCAGGAGTTGAGCTCGTTAATTTGCCGTCGCCCAGAATCGCTGTAAGAATTGATTTGGGAGGTTGAATAGACGTGCAGACCGCTGTCACATTGAAAGAATTATATCCTGGTGCGAATGTTGCGCATGTAAGTCGGGTAGGCGGTTCTGGGAAGCCTATTCGGCCTATGAGGCTAAAAAGCAACGGGACCAGAGATGGCGTCGTGGCTTCTGAATACACAAAACATGAAATTAAAATTAAACTGTTAACGCCGTCGACATCATGCTGTGGCCTTTCTTTTGTGTGGCAGTTTTTTAGCAAACGTTCTCTGCTCTGTTCCCATTTTCCAAAGATCCAGGCAAACATCAATCAATGGATTTTTGTAAATGATCGAATTATAAATTGTAACCCCGCTTGCAACGTCAATGTCCATGCGACTCGAAAGGGACGCTCACCTTCCAGTGGTTTGATGCGTTTTGGCGCTAGCGCCTATACCATTCGTCCTAAGAGTTTTCGAGCGGAACGGACTCATTATTTGCGCTCAATGAATGAAGCTGCATTAGGGAAGAAATTTTAACAAAACTTACATCCGTGAAAAGATATCTATCGAAAGTTGGGTTTCGAAAGGTAAAGCAGCTAAGGCTGAACCGTGCCAAAATAAAAAAAGATTTTCTGAGAAGCAGAACTCACTTTCCATTTTACATACGACTGTCATTTCGACAAGTCGCGTTGCCCCAACTTCCAGATCAAACAGTGAGCAATCCATGTCACTTTGCACTGCTTTAGCATAAACACACGTACCACGGTCACGTTGCAACTGAAAAGTAATCGTGAAATATGAGACCTGCAAGCCACCAAACCTTTTCCAACAGGTACAGCATCGAGATGTGCGCAATGGCTGCTTCGCACACCCTCCCGAACTTCTTCTGCATCTTTCACGACCCCATTTTCTATTCCACCCACCATCTTCGTTTTTTCAACTTCCTAATGCTCCGAAAACTTTCCAGTGTTCCCTAGAAACTGCCATCCAGCGGAAAAGGGGAGAGGAGGACTTAACACGTTGACGACGGTGTCGGACAATGGTGGGCGACAGCCAGTCTGTCTCATGGGACGGTGTCGGACAATGCTGTCCGACAGCATACTGCTCTAATAATAAAGACGTGCGAGCAACCAAGTTTGTTCAAAAGATGTCTATAGGAGTAGGCTGAAATTCTGAAACGAACAGCACAGTGGTTTGGCCCGGACTGCCCGGCGCCCGCGCCACAGGTAAAATAATTAGACCTTTCCGCGCCGCCACCAAGGTTGCCGGCGCCAAAAATACCTTAGGCTGCGTTTATACTTTGCGGCAGCGTAGCGTAGCGTAGCGCAGCGTAGCGTAGCGCTTCCAGCGTACGCCAGCGGCAGTGCCGAAGAGAGGATGCATATCGATCTAGCTTCACCAGCGTCACCAGCGGCACGCTGGCGTACGCTAGCGTACGCCAGCGCACGCTGGCGTACGCTAGCGTACGCCAGCGTTCTCCAAGCGTTTCAGCCAGCGGCAGCGTTTTGCTAGCGTTTGCAGCGGCAGGGGAATAGAGACTATGGGAGAGCTGGAGGGTACAAAACACATCGATTGCCCGTCTCTCACTCGCCCTTAGTCTCTACAATGCGCATCGCTTCTGCGTCTTCGACGGGCACATAGTCTCTACAATGCACATCGCTTCTGCGTCTTCGACGGGCACATAGTCTCTACAATGCACATCGCTTCTGCGTCTTCGACGGGCACATAGTCTCTACAATGCACATCGCTTCTGCGTCTCTCACGGCCACATAGTCTCTACTCCCTGCCGCTGCAAGCGCTAGCAAAACGCTGGTGCCGCTGGAGAAACGCTCGAGAAACGCTGGTGAAGCTAGAATCGATTAGCTATGCTCCGTGCCCTCGCTACGCCAGCGTGCGCTAGCGTGCCGCTGGCGTACGCTAGCGTGCCGCTGGTGACGCTGGTGAAGCTAGATCGATATGCATCCTCTCTTCGGCACTGCCGCTGGCGTACGCTGGAAGCGCTACGCTACGCTGCGCTACGCTACGCTACGCTACGCTACGCTGCCGCAAAGTATAAACGCAGCCTTAGGCCACAAAAGCGCCTGAAAACTTGTTTCGTGGGTGCATTGAACCCTTGACACGAATATCTCACTTTTCGTTTCCCTCGAAAATGCCGGCGCCCGTGCAACATTACCTTTACGGTCACCAAAAATTAGCCTGAAAACCTGACTCGTGGGTTAGCTTGACTCCTAAACACGAATATCACAAATCGCTTGCCACAAAACTGCCTAGCGCCCGCGCCAAAATGTCCTACAGATCATCAAATTCCCTGAAAACTTGTCCTCGGCTGAACCGGGCGACCCTCTCACAAAAATATCATGTCCACTTAAGCGTTGACGACGATTTCCGTATGGTGGGCGACAGAAAGAAAGGTGTTGTCTTGTGGAACGGCGTCGCCCAATGCTGTCCCACAGTTATTATATAACTCAAGATCTGCGCGATTGTTTCACTTTCTTTTCATAAAATTAGTTCAAGAAAAACATTTTCGGGTCGAGGGATGCGATATTGTTCTTTAGGAGATCAAACCACCCCGGGAGACAAATTTTCAGTCAATTCTGTCTCCAGAGGAAGAATTTGGTAAAAAATGGCCTGATTTTGGAAGATTGGAGCAATAAGAGCTAAATTGTGTCAAAGATTCGAGATTGCTATACTCGTCTCTTGCATTTCTCGATACATTTTGGTCGTCGTAATTCATTTATTTGGAAATTACTAAGTTTCAGTGTAGAAAAATGTGCCGTCCCAGGCGCAAGTCATGGGAAAAATGGCTCGTCGTCAACGTGTTAAAACCGGATAAGTTTTCTTGCGGCTGGAAGGAATTTTTTCTGAGGGCAAACCCTTCTCACTCAAAGCAATCAAAACACGACTCTCCCGATGAATCCAAGCAACAAGAACATTCTCCTTATACGTACCGGCTTATGCTTTTTGGATGTTGCACCACCAGGTTCCACTGGTGAATCTGGGCGATTATGCTCGTCAAGGGAGCTGTCCTTCCTCTTCCGTGATGATAGCGTATCATTCCGTGCTTTTGACCTGAAAATAGTGAAATTTTATTGTTCAAGAAAAAGAAGTCAATATCAAGGTATGCTCTCACATTCCGTTCGTTTTGTACCTCTTTTGACGCTTTCCGTTAGCTGAACTATCGCCCTGTAGGCTGCTATTATCGTGTGAGGATCTAAAAATCAACGAAATTCGAAAATTATTGTATAAAACTGGTTTAGATACTTACAAGGAACTGCGAGGAGTGGTTGCTAAGGAATGGTTGTTATCACTTCTTGGAGCAAATACAGAAGAACTCGTCTCTTGCTGAGGTCGTTTCCTTAAATGAAAAAGATAATTGAACTCCATTAATATTCATTACAACACAATAAAGGGCAGCCAGCTAAAAGGCATATGGACGGGTTCAAAAAAGGTTAAATAAACAAGCGCCATACTGTACCCAAAAGAAATACACCTGTGCTTCGGTGGTGACGTATTGTTCGGTGAAGAAGTTTCATGTTCACAGTGTAACTTCGCAAGACTGTTGGTAAATGTAAACGCTGAAAGACTTTATTTATTGCTCTGGCACTGGTACAAGATGTCCAAAACTTACGGGAAGGTTCGTGCCGTTGAGCATTCGAAGGTGCGCCACTATGAAAGTGAACCTCACTACTAGAGGTCACTTGGGGTTGGCCAAACACTGGCACGGTAAGAGGCGTTGATAACTTATTTATAGACGTGTTCTCAGCATCACCTGAAAAATTTGGAATATTTTCGTTTTTAAACATTATGAATAGTCGTAGAAACAGGCGCTGTTCGCTTTGGGAGGGGCATTTGACATTTTCGAATTTCCATTCCGTTATTTTTGTTAATTAAATAGCAGAATGGAAACTGTAAATGGTTTAGGGTTTCAGTTTGGCGAGAACCGTAAAATCTTGTAAAGCTACGAAATGGTACAAGTGCGATACTTTGATTTTCAGACTCTGCAAGTATTCACAAGAGGCTGTGACTCGTACCGGTTTCGAAGAAGCATTCAGTGCTCCCACCGAGCCAAACTGTATCAAAAACATTTAGGGGAAGTGAAAGAAGGGGCAATTCGCTATTTACTTTGAACGCAACGACCACTTTGTAAACACTTGCAAATCTACGAAAAGCTACCAACCAGGACGCATGGCGTTGAGGGGGGGGGGAGAGACTTTTGAATTATTTCTTATGCAAAAGTGGGACTAACGTCATCTAGATCGATAATTTACCAAGCCGAAACTTGTTCGCTTTCAGGCTTCAGCTGACGTCCTCATCTCCATCGCGAGAATCTAACCCGCGCACAAAGAGTCCTTCAAATGCCCCTCCTCCGAATTTGACACCCAAATTCGTTCTCACGCAAAATCTTCATTGTTCGCAGTTGGAATCTGGCCAGTGGAACAGGTGCCAGAGGAAGGGTGTTAGCCAGGAGCATAGAATTTTTGTCTAAGCTTAACAGGGAATGAACTTCGAGATGATTGCATCAACTAACTTGTGCAAAAAAAAGGAATGAAAAATGAAACCTTCAACATTTCGTAGCTTTACACGAATTAACAGTTTTCAAAATGATCCTCAGCCTAGTTGCGCCCGCCACTCAATGAAATTACATTTAGCGAACAAATTAAAAAAAAATGAGTTTGCGTTTTGTACGTACCGCTAGGCGCGAAACAACTTCAATCAACACTAGAAAATAGAGCTACCGCATTTAGCAGCCTCATTAAGAGCTACACACTAATTAAGGAAGGGAATGTACGAAAAGGGAGGATACGAAAATTGGGTCACGCTAAAAAGTGGGGAAAAAATCCCAAAAGGAACTCCCTCCGCGAAAACGAAAAACTAATTCATTATAGTACCTCATCGAATATTTAGTGCACAGACTAATCACTCGCGTACCCCCCCCCCCAACGTAAACGCAGTAGTATAACGAAGGTATCTCATTCCACATTCTGTTATCGCAATCATTCAAATCAAAACAATTCCAAACTGAATTCCTGGCTTCCCAAAGAAAGGAAGGCTCTCGCCTAAACTCGGAGCGCGAGAGCACCAGGAGAAGTGAATCAGTCTCGAGTGTAGTACTCCCATCTTCACCAGTGTAGCTCCAGTTTTGCACCAAAAGTCCTTCAAGTGCCCCCCCCCCTCAAAGCTATTAGCACCAACTTTTTGCGAAGCAAAGCAAATCACCTTGAGCAGTCTTAATGTCGACGATTGCAGGGATTTCATGGTCCATGGATCCGGAGCCATCCTGTATGTCGTCGATGAGCAGGCGACCTTCATCGTCCGACATCTCCTCAGGCCTACCCTGAGCGAGCACAACACCTGAAATGTACAATATGCTGAAGCACTTTCATTAACCAAACACTGTGGTTTGGTTATCGTTGACAGCATCCTTGACAAGTAAAGATGAACGGAAATATAAGAACCATGTGGAGCAAGGAACAAAAGAATGCTTGATTAATAGCTTTTACTCGAAAGTGACCGTGACATGTTCTCAAAACTATAAGGAAAACCGGTTGCAAACTTCAAAACAATAAAAACAGTAATCACGTGATTCATGCCCACAGTTCAATTTGAACTTTGGCCAACACAACACAAGCAAAAAAACATGGTCCATAAAGGGCTCCTGGGTTTGGTTCAAACTGTGACTGACGTTTCTTTTGACATCGAAAACCAACCTTGCAACAACAACTACACTCCGTACCCTAGCGATTGGGAGCGCGTGGCTGCGCACTCCAAATGAACGTGACGGCAGCTGCGCTTCTGGTAGTTTTGCTTTGGTACAACTATAATCATGTTTTCGTCCAACATAAAACGGTATAGCGGTCGTCTTAAACAGACCTATTCCACGATAAAAGACGCATTCTAAGCCGTGTTCAAAACGAGCACGCAGCCACGCCTTCCCCATCTGCATGATATGGAGTGTACGACACCGAGCACACCGTGCGATGGGATTACCTGGGGAATTTTACCTTTACACGACCCCCGACCACATAACACCTCCATGTACACATAGCGCCTTCGAACCGAAAAAAATCAATAATCAGAACCTCCCTTAAGCTAAAGAAGACCCTCTTCAGCAGCCAAATACGAACAATGGTGTGGAATCCACGATGATGATGACACTTTGTTCCTCAAGGCGTGCAGGGGTCGTACTTAACGGAGAGGAAGGAAGGGGTTCGTGTTCTGGAAATCCTCCAATCGCCCTGGCGTCATCGTACGTCATTCCATATAAATAGTGGCTTATATAAAGGATAAAGGATAAAGCCCACGCCGTTAACCAATCCCTTTTCGGGCGCACATTCTACTTAAATTCAGAATGGCCGTGGCTTACTGAATGCGATGTGGCCTATACAATGACTTGCGGAGGGCCAGCCGATGTACAAGTCAGTGTTCTTATCCTCCCAGACGAATCTGGTACCAATTTACCGTCCCGAAGTTAGAAGGCTTGGGTGGATTTAGCGGGAACCAATCCGGAATTCGACCCCAGGACGTATACAACGGACAAACGCGGTTTTCAAAATCATTCAATTGCAAGCAGGTCACCTTTTGTTCCCGAACAGTTCCAGTTTTGCTGGAACCGAACTGTGAATGCAAATGAATTCAATAAAAACTGTCAATAATCAGTTTCCTGGAACGTGAAGAACAGCGCTATAAAAGCTGCTATAGAGCTAAAAAAACCCCAAGAAATCAAAGTGGAGCTGCTAGTAATAGAAATGATACAACGCTATTATTTTCATTTGGTGATTCCAGTATCTTAACTAGTACTATTAGGGTGTCCGGAAAGTTTTGAGAAATTTCAACTAGCTCATTTAACACTTATCAACAACAATAAGAGATAGTAGTTCATAGTTATAATAAATATTGTCCATCCTATGTCCCTTACCTTTTGGGCGGGATTACCTTGCGTGGGAGCTAGAACTAAGCGAGTACTGAGAATGAGGGGGCGTACGCAACATCTAAGCTAAACTTCCATGGAAAAGGCCGAATAATCTCCTAGAACAGATAATTTTGAAGCGCATTTTATCCAGCGTCGGAGGCTGTTCCCCATTTCCGATTTGACTGATAGAGGACCCAGAACGGTGGAGATGAAGTAAAAGGCGTTGGGAGTGGTGCGCGCTCGTACATTTTTCAGGTAATGTCAAATCATACCAACAATGGAGAATAATAACAACCAGCATTAGTATTGATCTACAAACATTTCTCTTTCTCATAGCACTTGATATATGACTTTCTGTTGGGGCATTCGCTTGCTACACTTCTTCAAACTAAAAGTGTGAAATTTTCTCAAAACTTTCCGGACAACCTAATATCAATGAAAACATTACTCAGTGAATTTTTAGCGAGAGGGGGATTCAATAGTGGTTCTTCAGCCTCGCATATGCCTTTAGGAGGGAACAAACCAGTATGATCACAGTACTTGATCAAGCAAACAGATTTTCCAAATTGAAAGCTGAGAAAGATTCAAAGTTGAAGGGTTCAATAGTACATCCAAACAAAGAGGCAAAATCGTTACAAAAGGGCAAAGAGCGGGTTTACTTTAGAAAGCTTATGGAATCAGATTTGAGAACAATTAAAGCAATGGAATAAAAGTAACGATTAAACTTGTAAAATGAGACATTCAAGGCAAAATTTAAAACCTGGAACGTCTAATAGGACTCGAATAACTTTCAGTGGTAATTCAGGCATGTGAAGATTAACGGAAGGGTTGTGACGGAAGGGTTGTCGCGATCAACAACGTTCTCATCGTTGTTGGACACAAACCACCCTCTTTTTTAATAAAATAAGGCGATCAATAAAGAAGGACACGACGCGGCGCGAGCCAAAAATCCACCCGAGCGCTGCGGGACCGCGCGCCGTGAATTCGCGCGCTAAACCAATGCACTCGTCGGCGATTTGAATGCACCCCCGTACACGGGACCGTACTTTGCCGCGTGTAGATCATTTTTTGGACCCGGGGTTCACACCCGGGCCAGTTGTTGACGTTGCCTGGGTCTGGTTGCACATTCGTGTGATTTATTTGACGCTGAACTCGATGACTTGTCCTTACAGTACAACTGCACTTTTTCCTTATCATCGCTGAACCTTGTTTGAACTTTTCTCTTCCGAAATACGAACAACTCACGGTTTTTTTTGGTCGGAGGGAGGGGGCAGGATTATCCTTAAAATGTCTAAGTGCCAAATGCTCCAAGTTCCCTCACTTTCCGTCAACTCCTTGCCTATGTCCTTATTTCGTCAACCCTACCTCACTAATGAGTCCCAAGGTTGACAAGGCAGAAGAGAGTCGTGGAAGCTCATTCCCTAGGGCCTTATTTTGTCAACCCCATCCTCACTGATGACTCCCCCTAGCTTTGCATGAGCGCCTATGTTACATCTTCTCTTTTTCTTTTTCTTCAACTGCTTCCCTACGTAGCCCTTGTTTCATCAACCCTAGTTTACTAACGAGTCTCGGGGTTGATGAAATAGCGGTGGTCCATATGGCGGGGGGGGGGGAGACTGTGTGTGTCCTGAAATGTTTTTTCCAAGTCATTTGTTTTCGTTGTCTTTGGTTGACGCAACAGGAAAGGCTTGTCGAGGGGGCATCTATAGTGAAAGTTTTTAGAGTGTTTTATTCGAGCTTGCTGCTCTTTTTTTCCAACTTTTGCTCTGGAATGGCAACCGTTGATGGTTTATTTTTCATGCACTGAAATAATGGTCTACAGTGCTTTATTCTGAGTGTTAGGCTATGAACCGGAACTGACGACTTAATTTTTTTTCTAGCCTAGACCCTTCCATACATAGTACCTCTAATTGCATTTCCTCTCTACTGATTGGCTGAATTAATTTATTCGCTCTTTCTCAAATATCTCTCTCTTGGCAAGCTGTACCACTAATTAAATACGAAACTGACCTCGAAAACCAGGCAAGAGGTAACTTTGTAAGACTCGTTCATTCCTTACGACACTGGGAAATCGGAGAATCGCAGAATCGGAAAATCCGCGAAAGTCGCGAAAGATAGATACGTATCGATTGGTCTCTGATCTCAGCTCTTCCAATTCCCTAGCTCTGCGGAGTGAATCGCTAGATATCTGAGAACGCGTTCATACTTCTCGATCGCGCATTTACAAGCGATCGGGTCGAGAATATGAAACCGCTCCAATCTCTGGTACGCATCCTACGATTCGCAGATTCTTCACTTCTTCAACTTTCCATACCGTATGCTTC